ACTGGTTCAGGTCTCAGCAATGAGTGCAAGCACAGTAATATTTGTTATCTTTGTGACAGGGCTGTTTCTTTAGACCTCACTTGAATATGTTTTCTCTCAAATTTTTTGTTCCTGATAATTTGAGCAAACAGTTCCAGTTTAGATGCTTTTCCCTACACTTTTTTATTAGTCTTGTGTAGTTTATGAACAGGAAATCAGCTGGAATGGATTAATCTCGGCCTTGTCCCCACAAGCCCAGAGCACAGGCAAGGTCAACTTAAGGCTGGAGTCTCCTACAACAGGCTTCTCTCCAGCGACCTCCCCCAGCTTAGACCTTCACCTTTCATTGCACAGCTGTCACTGCCCAGATATGATTGTCCCATACACCTCTCCCTGCCCCTCTTCCTGCTCCTCTCCCTGCACGTTCCTGAGGCCATGCTGACCCATGTGCAGGATGTGACCTTCCCTGCTGCACAGGGGTTCTCCTGCCAAGCACTTGTGAAGTGATACAGACCACATCAAAAGATGCTTCCAAGCACCTCCCAGAGTGGTGGGAACAAGGAGCTCTGCTTCAGGGAGCAACACTTTTGATGTTTGTGTGCCTGCATGGCTTAGGTGAGAGGCGAATGCTTCTTGGCTCCACAGGGGCTGATATTTTCCTCCTGCAGCCCAAATCAGTGATGGTGGATGCTGTGCCCCAAACCAGCCCTGACTCCCCCTCCCTGAAAGCTGGCAGCAGCTCCTGGGAATTTACCCTGCAAGTTGGACCCTCTGCAGTGTGTAGATCTTAGGGTCTGTCTGCAAAGGGGCGAATGAACCTGCAACCAAGTTCCCAAGGCAGAGGATGAAACCCTTTTCTCTGCCTCTCCTGTGAGAGCTCACACCCCGTGCTGCTGCCCGGCATCGCTGTGCGCTGTCGGAGCAGCTCTGCCCGCCCGGGGCTGGCTGCGTGTCAGAGGTGTGCAAAGTGGTCCTGCTGCCGGCAGATCTGCAGATCCTTCTGGACAAGAGGGGGGCTAGAAAAATGTCAGCTCATCATTTTCAGCGAGCTGGAGTGCTGTTCTGGTAATAGGGAGCTGGGCAGTGCATGCCTCAGCGCGGGCCTGCAGATCGATACTGAGATCAGAGGCAGGAGTGGATGTCGGAGCTTGTGATGACTGAGCAGATATTGGACCACGGATCTGTTTCTGGTCGTGCCCTGAGGGGCTGTGGTGTTTGCTGGCCCCAGGAGGCAAGCAGTACTCTGGGGAACCATTACCTGGGAAGAAGGGTGGCAAGGGGAAAGATTGTTCCCAAGGGACGGCCAGCCTGAGAGTGAGATGCTAAAGGCAGCCGTGTAGGTGGGAAGAGTAGAACCACAAAGCAAATAGCTGCTTTCCCTTCCCCTCTGTGTGTGGTCAGGAGCCCCTCTGGCACTTCCCAGCCCCGCTTCTTTGTCTGGGATGAGTGTTTTGGTAGCAACTCCTGTCCCCATGCAGAGGCCAGCTGAGGTGGAGGAGATGAGGAGGTTTCTGTAGAGGAACTGGTGTTTCCTTGTGCCTGAGCATGGAATTTCTGGAGGCTCTCAAAGGCCAGAGGGAACCCAGCCCCTGAGCCTCCATGGAACAGAGTTCTCGCAGGAAGCCCTGATTTCATCCTTCATGGAGATGCTTCTTAAAAGAGCAATTTGCCAGCATCCCTCACAGCAATAACAGCAAGGCCTCTGCTTGAGATACCATCTCTGTGCTCTGACAGCCCCATCACTCATGCTGGGCTCCTGTCTCCCTCTTCCACGGGGACAGGAGTGAGGGATGGAGGCAGAGATGGAGGCAGGGATGGTGCTTTCCCACTACAGGCAGCTCCCAAGTACTCCTGTCCTCTTTTGGGTCTGGGTGTGCAAATGGTAGCAGGACCAGGGGCCACCCAGCTCTGGTGCTGGGTGAAGGCTGGTGGCCCATCTGCTCTCTGCTGTCATTGCAGTCTCTTCTCCCAGTGAACTCTCCAATCCCCCTGGCAGCCTGCACCAGGGAGGATGAACAGCCCACAGTTTTTTTCCTCTCCTGCCTATCTTCCGCCTGCCCTCCGGGCACCCAGCTGGATGCTCCTGCTCCTCCCATTCCCCCCGCTGTGCCTGGCCACCTCTCCTCCTGCAGAGCAGCTTTATCTATCAGTGGCAGAGGAAGCCGTGGCTTGGCACAAAACCTTCTCATCAGCTGCTGAAGTGGGGCCTTCCTGGCACCAGGTGGCAGAGTGGGGTGGGTGTGTCATGGGGTTTGGGTGGCCTCCTTGTCCCCTACACCCAGGACAGCTGACCTGGGAGACCTCCCCAACTTTCAGTGGGTTAAATCTCGTCTTTGCAAGCCGAGTGCAAAGCTGGTAATTGCCTCAGATTGCAGATGGCCCTAAAGCCTCTCTGACTGGATTTGTTCTTCGTTAGCAGTTGTACTCTGCACCAGGCCAAGGGGTGATCCCATGCCCTGGGGGACAGAGGGACAAGGTGCTCCATTCATGCAGCCCTGGTCAAGCAGTGCCACTCTGGCCCTTCCAGGTGACAGTGGCTTCTCTGAGGTCCTGGAGCTGGTCTGCCCAGAGGATAGCCTTGTTGTGCTGTGGGACTGCAGTCTGTCCCCAAGGTGGCTGTGTGCCCCCTGAACGTGTCCCCCCTGTGACTGGTCCTGCAGTGACATGCCAGGGTAGGCTGATGGCCTCACACTGGTTTCACCTGTGACTGTGTGATTGATATCAATTACCACGAAGAGTCTGTGACCTTGCACCAGCTCCAGGATAAAGGAAGCCCTGGTCTCATCCTGGGCACTGGTTTTGCAGGTCGTGTGATATCCCTGTCCCCTGTGCTGCTGAGCCACAAGAATTACATCTCTCTCAAATGGGTGGGGAAACTGAGGCAGGGAGTAGAAAATATGCCTAGCTGTTTTCCCCGCTGGTGACTCCATACAGGTGCCTCAGGATGAGAGCTGCTTCTCATGGGAGTGGGGAACTACCAACCCCCCACCCCGTGCTCCTCTTCCTTGCAGTGCCAGGCACTTCAGTGATCTCTTTTGCTCCAAGTGTTTCACTTTGGTAATTCAGAAGCGGGTGGGGCTCAGAAGAAACCAGCCCTTCCACTTTGATGTTTATTCTCTAACCAAATGCTCCTGCTTCTCCTGGGGGAGCCCTGGCAAGAGGAACCCTGGTGAAGCTGCCCGGCACCCCTGAAGACTCCATGGGAGCAGGACTGATGCTCCAGAATGTGCAGCTCCTTGCACATCACTGCCATTCCCAGGGCTTCTAATGTGGCTGGGCAGCAATGGGTGAGGACTTGCCCAAGTATGATCCCTGCTCGTGTCCCACTGGGACAGGCTCCCCGTGTGCATGGCTGTGGGCAGCTGCTCCCTGCTGAGAGATGCCTGAATCCCAGTTGCAAATCCTCCCTGCAGCTGCTATTTATCCCCTCTTCCTTGCCCTCTCCCTTCTCTCCCCTTCTCCCCCACCCCCAGTCCAGTTGCTTCTTCTGGACTAGGATGATTTGGGGTGTGTAGCAGATCTTGGAGCTGTTGGCTCAGCTCGTACTCTCTCTCCTCCCGTTGCAAAGCTCTGTACCTGGCAGAAGTAGACCCTTGAAATATTTGGAGTCCTACACCTGTAATTCCTCCGTTCACCCGTGCTCCTGCCTGCAGCACCATCCCTTTATCACTGTGTCTCTGTGCAGAGGAGCAGAGACATGAAACTATTGGGGAGAGGAGAAAAAAAAAAGGCATGCAGAAAAGCGCTGTGGAAAAGCAGAGCAAATTAAGCAGAGCTCTGATCTGCTTGGGTTTGTTCTTGCCAAAAATGCACCATGCATCTTAATTCGCTCTGCTGTTCAGCTCGCACTCACTGCTCTCCTGATGCCATTTCGGCGCTCTGAGCTCAGCCTTTTCAACACTTCAGTCTTCCTCTTTCAGGATTTTTTTTTTTTTTGCATGTCTGATTGCAGAATCTGCTGCAGGAGGGAAGGGGGAAGCCAGGGGAGAGAGGACGGGAGCCCTGACCCTGAGTGCTCCTGCCTGCGCTTCCCGGCAGCCGGCTGGGTCCCCGATGCATTTTTTTAGGGGGTGGGGGGTGCAGGGTGCATCTTTTCTAGAAAGTCCTTCCTGGGTGCTCTCCAGTCGCTTTTTTCCCCACCCAGCCGTCTGATCTGCCTCTCGCCAGGATCCTCTCGCTAAAGAGGAAAAAAAAAAAAAGATTTAAATTGCTGTAATCCACACTGGCTTTTATTCTCTTCCAGTTCAGTTTAATCTCTTTCCTCTCCACCCTTATGTCCTGATTGGGGTGGGGGGGAAACCCACCCAACAACCAAGCGAAAGGCAGCATCGTCCTCCAAAAGAGCTTGAGAAAGCAGGAGCCGAGCCAGAGCCCCTCTGCTCTCCCCCACCACAAATTTAACCCCAGCTTCAACTTTTCTTCTGCTACCGGGGCTGAGCTGAGCTCCAGCAGTGCTGGGGTGGGTTTTTCCCCTCTCTCCCCCCTTCCTCCTACATTGATTTTAGAAGAGAGGGAAGGGGGTGGGGAATCCTTTTTATTGCGGAGTCCAGTTCTCTTTGCAAGCCTTCCTCCTCCTCTTCCTCCTCCTCCTCTGCTTTTTGTGCCCGCCGCAGCAGGGTTGGCCAGGCTGGGGGAGGGAAGCGATGGGAAGGGGAGATCGCCCCCTCCCTCTGTCTGTTTTTTTTGCAGGTGTGTCAATTTTAATTCTGCCCAGTAGGTGGGACTTGGTGACTTTCGCACCGTTTTTGTTATTTATTTATTTCCCCGGCTGCTTCTCTCCCTCCCTCCCCTCCCATCCCTCCCTCCCCAGCCTCCCGTTGCGATCCTCCGGAGCGGCTGCGGGAGCGGCGGGCGGCCGGGCCGGCATGCATCCATCCCCGCCCGCGGCCGCGGCCGCTGCCCTAGCGGGAATTACAGCCTCTCCCAGCCAGCTGCCAGCATGATTTCATCTGCTGGAGGATTTTTGCATCTGATCGCTTGAGGTTTTGTTGTTGTTGTTTTTTTTTTTTTCTCCCTCTGTCTTTGTTTCCTTCCCCCTTTCCCCCCCTTCCCCTCCCTCCATCCCCCCTTTCCTCCTCCTCCTCTTTTTTAGAAGCAGCAATCGGAGATGGATGTCTCTCTTTGCCCTACCAAGTGCACTTTCTGGAGGGTATTTTTGCTCTGGAGCATTTGGGGAGACTATCTGCTTTCGGTGCTGGCTTGCCCTGCTAATTGTCTTTGCAGCAAGACAGACATCAATTGCAACAAGCCGGATGATGGGAACCTCTTCCCTCTCTTGGAAGGGCAGGATTCAGGCAGCAGCAATGGCAACACGAGCATCAATATCACGGACATCTCAAGGAACATCACTTCCATGTAAGTGGGGGTCCCCCGGGCTCCCCCTCCCGCGGCAGGGTGCGGGCTGGGTCGCCCGTGCGGGGCTCAGGTGCCCCCGGCATCGCTGCGCTGTCTGGGCTCAGTCCGGCTCCCCGGGCAGAGGACGCAGATCCGGCTTTTCCCTTATTCCATTCCCACAAAAAAAAACATAAAAAGCCCAGCAACAGTTTGGCCAAGGCTTAAGAGGAATAAAGTAAATGAGATCTGATTCCTTAGCAGGAGAGAGAGCAGCAGGCAAAGATGCTAAAGCTGCTGCTTCCTTTAACTGTTTGCTTCTGCAAGGGGAGGGGGGACGCTACAGCCACACATCGTCACATATTTACCCAAATTGGGCAAGAAAAGCAAGTTCTGAGCTGCTTTTCCCTTCTTGAGACTTTGGATCTTGTTAGAATGTCATTATTTTTTACATCTCCACATCAGAAAATGCTCCCTTCCCTGAGCGTATCTGGGGATCTGCGGTTTCGCCTTTTTAATGGGAGGAAAAAAAAATAGGACAGTGAGATGTCCCCTAAGTAGCTTATTTAACTCGCATTGTTATAATTTTACAACTTGTCGTGGTGCGATAGGATTTGTGCGTTTTCGGCTGGGGTGGTGGTGGTGGGGAGAAGCGTCGGAGCAGGGAGATATTTTTAGTTGAGCACTTTGCGTTTGTTTGCATGCTTGTTTATCTGGAAAATCAACTTGAAGTTGCATTATCCTTGTTTGGAGAGGCAGTTAGCAAAGCCCATGTTAATCTCATCAGCGTGGAGTCGAGAAAAGAATATATTTCCTTCTCCCGAATCCATCATGCTCTGTGTGTGTGAAAAAAAAAAAAAAATTCCTCATCGCTTCCAATCTCTGCTCTTTATTTTCCAGTACATTTTTGGGTGAGATGAACTCTGAGCCATTTCATTATTCTAATGCTAATTGAAATGTGAGCATTTAGGGAAATGTAGCCCCCAGAGCAAGTTGCCAGTGGGAGTTGAGGAGAGAAGAGGTGGAATCCTTTATTCTGACAGTTAAATGCAGCAAGGTTTGAAATGAGTAATGGAGGGTTATTTATTTATTTATTTTCCCCACCTCGATGGCACGGTTGCATGGAGGGAGAGGGCTTTGGGTCTCTTCCCGAGGCTGTTTTATTTGGTCACAGTGCAATTGCAGCAGAGCCATGGAGTAATTGCAGTGCCTCTTTTGCAGCTCTGCTCGTCACCTTTGCTGGGTAAAGATGACGGGAGCTGCTTTTCCTGCTTGCTTACATGTTCATGCGATGCCCAGGCAGGTTTTCAGCAGGTACCACTGACCCTGAACACCCAGCCCTGCCTTCCCCCTGCCAGCAACCCCCCTGAAAACCCAGCAGGAATGGGGAAAGTAAGTGGGGAAAACTAATGCAATGCTCCCCTTCCAATTGCCCCATATTTATCCTGCGTTGTGGTGGTGGAGTGTTTTCTCTGCGATGCTGGAGGGATGAGGGTGATGCTGGGGAAGTCAGAGAAACTCGTGTTTTTTCCCTCTGCTCGCTGTTTGTTGTGGTTTAGTTTTAACTCTTTGGGGGCTGGGGAGCAGCAGGAAAGGTTGGGAAGGGTTTGGAAGCCACCAGCGTAACTGTGCGTTGTCAGATGCACAGACACATCTAAACTGCTGGGAGAGGTAGTGTTACATGAGTCCTTTGTGCCCAGAAAATGTCTTTACTGATTTGAAATTGAAAAATGCTGATAAGCAGTCCATAAAAAGGAGAGGGACAAAAAAATGCCCAAAATGGACAACTCCAGAGACAAATATTGGGTATTTTTTTGGAGAGATGCTTCTCTTAAGTTGGGGAAGGAGAAGAAGGTGCCAGTTTTTCTGGAATTTGTATGCATCTCTGCTACACACTGAGCAAAGCACATTCACTCACCTCCTGCATCGCTTCTGACTCCACACCTTCCTCCTCAGGCTTTGGGGGGACTGAGGCACAGGGCTGGGGTGAACCCCAAAATGCCATGGAGGGCTGAGACTGATCACGAGTGAAAACTTTCCCCAAGGGTCTGTGCTTCCTGGGAAGGCAGCAGTGGTTTGTAGGGGATGCTTATGGGAGCAGAGGGATGGTTTGTGTGGTGGGGATGCTTCTCAGCAAAGGAGTCACTGCTGGGATCCAGGGTTGAATCACTTTCATCCTCTTGTCTGGGAGGCATCAGGTCCTGAACCCTTCCAGCCTGATGTCAGGCCTCTCCTTGACAGTCCTGACATCATGGGTGCTGGGGTGAGGGGTGCCTCGAAGCCCAGCCTGGTCATAGCTGAATCACTCCCGACATGCGAGTCTGATTCAGCTGGGCACTGAACAGTGTTTCCTCCTGCTTGCCATGCTCACCGGGGGCTTGGCCTCCTTAGGCAGCTTACCTTGTTTGTGGACAGCCAGTGGGCAAAAACACCTTCTCCCACTGGCTGGGGGGTGAGCAGGGGAGGCTCAGCCCTCTCCCTGTGGCTGGGGGATTTTATGGCCCTGATGGGTCCTCCCCATGGGCCCTGGGGAAGGTGGTGGTTGCTGCTCCATCTTGTTGCTGGTGAAAAAGCAGATGGAGTGTGGTGTGGTGAAACAACCCTGGGACCAAGCAGAGACTTATTCATGTCCAAAAGACAGCTCAGCTTTGAAATTAGGGCTTGGGTGTTGCTGATGAAAGACTACCAGAGCCTGTTCAGAGGTCTGGAAAAAGAAAACATTGTGAGCCATCTTGGAGGGATTGTCCGTCTTACCCACTTGAGCCAGGGCAAGACCCCTCCACTCCAGCCCACCCAAACCCAGCACTGGGGGCTAAGGCATCAGGAGCTTTGGGTTTTATCCCTTCTCAGCAGCTGATGAGAACCCCAAGGCAAGGAAGACAGAAGAGGGACAGGAAACACCCAGCCTGTAGTGCTGCCCAAGGAGGCTGGAAGGCAGGCCTGGGTGCCCACAGTGTGGTACCCCACCACTGAGCCTCCCATTGCACCCCTCAAATGAATGGCCTTTGCTTCAATTGCTGGTGCTTCTGGCTTCCCACCCATCCTCCTTTTGGTAAAAGTGGAGCAGTCAGGGCTGGGCGGCTCCTGCCCTGGGTAGGCTGGAGGGGACACTCAACTTCCATGCAAATCCAGGCAGTGCCAGGTTAATGGTGAAGCAGGGAAAGGATGGGAGGTTCCTGCCCTGAGATGGAATAGGAGGTTGGATTGGCTGATTTCCCTCTGCCCTTTGCCAGCGTGCCCAGAAGTTTACCCAATTTTGGATTGCATCCCTGGAGACACGACTCTTCACACAGATCCCTGTGAGAGCTGCCAGTGGTCCTGTCCAGCTGGGAGGCCACCTTGGACCTGACTGAGATGGCTCCAATTTGGAGTCATGCTCTGTATTTTGTCCTCCTGATTTTGGGAGAGGACACCATGGGGTTGGGGTATATCCATGCCATTGCTTTTCCTGGTGCAGCTGGATGGCCTTTGCTGTGTCCCCAGCCAGATGTGACTTAAGGAGATGCTCAAGCTCCCCCCAGTCCATCCTCACCCCTGTGATGTGGGGCTCCATTCATTGCTAGACCTCCCTAAAAATACCGGACGCACAGGGAGAACTTTGATCCTGGGGGATCCTGCAGCACAGAGCCCCTTGTGCCCCTGTGCTCTGAGCAGCTGGGGTCTTTGTGACTCTGGGTCCCCCACCATGGCACTGTGAGGGGCTGGCTGGCGCATGGGGAAGCCGGGCCCGGCTGTGCCGCGTGTCGGGGTGACGGTGGGTGCCGCGTGCCAGGGGTGGGCCGGGCCGGGGAGTTACCCTTCTGGCAGCGTGGGCAGCTCCTGCGTGCGCCGGCACCGTGCGTGGGGAAGGACAGACGGAGGAGTTTGCCATCTGGGCCTCCCTACTTCTCAGCTGTTGCTATGGCACTGGAGAGATGCTGCTAGGCAGGCGATGGTGGCCTGCATTTGTCACCCCTGGGCTCCCTCAAGGTAGGGAGATGTCCCTGGTATATAAAACCTTGCTCCTCGCCCAGCCTCACCAGGGGAGGATGGGGACTCTTGTGGTAAAATAGCCTCCATGGGTGGATTTTCAGGGTGTATCTGTGCAGTTCGTAGCTGCTTTCAACAAGGTGACATGAATTCAGAGCAACCCAAGGGGAGGTGGCTTATTCTGGAGCACTGTGGGGTGCCGGATTTTGGGGTTTCGCAGGGCGAAGAGGAAGCATCTTGCCCCTTTCCACGGACAAGAAGAGCATCCTCATTCTTTCCTTTTGGGCTGTCCCACCAGCCCACGGCAGCATCTACTCCATGCCGTGGGCCTGACCGGGGGTGGGAGAGCCACGTCAGAGCTGAGTGCTGTGGGGGGGATCGGCAGCGCAGCCCCCACTCGCTGCGCGGGAGCCGGGAGCATGTGGAGAGGGGGAGAGCGAGGGGGTGCTCAGAGCAGCAGCACCCTTTCAGTGCCGGTGTGGGGAGAGCTGAGGCACTGGTAACGCTCCTGTGTGCCTGCATCTGGGAAGGAGGGGAGAGAGAAAGGGCAGGCGTCTTCCTAGAAGGGCCAGAGGGATCAGGAGTTGCTTTGGTGACCCAAACAGCTGAGAAAAGGCCTCCTGTGATGCTCAAGGTAGTGACTGCTCTGCTTCAGACAACAGGCACAAACTTTTCCCCTCTCTGTGAATCTACTTCTCTCCAGAGATGAAGGGCTCTGCATTCCCAAAGCCTCCCATCTCCTGGTCCCAGAGGCTTTGGCCGCTGCAGAGACCATTCAAAAGGTCTCTAATTCCATCCAGCTTGGATTTCCTGGGCTCTTGTTCATGCAGAGCAGCTGTCCTGAAGGATGTTAAGACGGGAGAGGTGGGTCCAGCACAAGGCTGTGGGGACAGAAGAGGGTGCAGAGATGTTTGGGACAAAGAGGTGGGCTGACATGTATAGTCTTGATACTCTAGAGATGACTTAAGTCAGGAGCACTGTAACCTCCATATCCTCCCCCTTTTCTGTGAGCTGGCTGTTGATTCCTTGCCCTGCTCTTGTGGTCTTTCTCTCTG